ACCATCTCTATCTCGACGCCGTTCCCTACTCTCTCTCCGATGTTATGCTCGATTCCACCCACACTCCCTACTTATCCCACACTCCCTACTTCCTACCTTTGCTTCATCTCCACGTTTACCTACTCCTTTCTCCACTCGCATGGATACCCTCCTCTTCCATTCCCCTTTCCCCCATCTCCAACCTCTCCCATTCTCTGTCCATTCTATCCCTCCATGGCTTATACCTTACCCCCATATTTGCTCCTGTTTTCCCTGACCCACCAAAATCAAAGATTCCTCCTGCTGTCCTTCTTACCCATTTCCTTCACCATGTCTCCACTTATTCCTCCAGTATTCACGTATATACTGATGGCTCCAAATCCACCTCCGGTGCTGGTTTTGCAGTAATCTTCCCAACTTGTATATTCAAATACTCCCTTCCTCCTGAATCCAGTGTCCTTACTACAGAACTGTATGCACTCCTTTTTCCCTTAAAACACATACTCACTCCCCTCTTCCTCTTTTACAATTTTTACTGACTCCCGTATCTCATTAACTCTCATAAAGTCAATACAAACCACCAACCCCCTTGTTTGTAAGATTCAGAACTGGTTGTTCTACCTGTCCACACACCATAAAACAATCAAATTTTGCTGGGTGCCCAGCCATGTTGGAATCCCCGGCAATGAACAGGCAGATACTATAGCACGCTACGCTGCTATGTCCACGTCATACCAACCACACTTCTCACGTATCCCAGCCACGGATTGTTACCCACACTTTAAGACCTTCTTGTATAATCGATGACAATCTTTTTGGTCAAGTCTCCGCACTAATAAATTACATACTGTAAAACTATCAATCTCCTCCTGGTCAACTCCATTTCATCGGAACAGACGTTGGGAAATGGCTTTCGCCCGCTTACGCATTGGCCACACCCGTCTAACACACTCCTATCTGATGTCACAATCCGATCCACCCCTATGTTCCTAATGTAATATTCCTCTTTCAGTCCCACACATTCCATTGTCGTGCCCACTTTTTGAAGCAGCCCGTACCACTGCTTTCCCCCACCTATCCTCCCTTCACCAACCTCCCAACCTATCAGACATCCTTACAGAATCTCACACTTTCTTACACCTTTACATTACCTCATCCTACCTTAACCCATTCACTCACCAATTCCTTTGCCCAGCTTTGACAACTAATCACTTACTCAACCACCCTTCACTAACATTTACTATAGTGCTACATGACCTTAGATGTCTAGCACATTTATTTTGCTTTTAACCATTAACCATTAACCATTATCTATACTCTCCAGTTTCAATGCAGCCTACATCAAATAGTACATATGATCAAGCATTAGAAGGATGAAAATGCATTTCTTGTATTCTAAATGGTACCTCTCATTTCCTGCCATCCCTCCCACCACTGCCCAAACTGAATCCTTATTTTGTTTTCACTATCTATTCTCTAATGTCCTGACCTCATTTATGTGGGTACTATGGGTGACAATGAGCAGTGGGGCAGGAACCCATATATTGCATTTTCCCTTTTATTTGAATGCTTCAATCTTCCATCCCATATGCATATTCCCAAGTAGTTTAAGTACTTGAGAAGTTCACAATCATTGCATGGGTCACTTTTTAGACAAATAGTATAGGAAATATCCTTTATGGTTAAATCTAAGACAGAGCAGGGAGGAACAGTTGCCCTCAGACACTAAAAGTTGAAGATACCAATATGTGAATAACATCTCTCATTAATGCATAGGCACCCAGCACATACATTGGCCACAGTATCAATACTAATAAAAATAAAGACTTCTCTTCTAAAAAAGTCAAGGAATGGGGTAAACAGGTGGTATCATGTAAGTCATGTAATATGTAATAATTATTACATGTATCATGTAATAATTGACTTCTTGGTGACTGGAGCCATATATTTGTAAACAAATTTAATAAACAATACCACAGTAGGCAGCGCATGCACAGATGCACTCTTGGTATCAACTGGTATAAAATGTCATCTTTTCTTAAGTTGCCAATTTTTTCCCCTGTATATTATCCCCCCCCCCCCCCACCCACACACACCAACAGCCTCAAATAAAATATCCTGGACCCAATACTCAAGTTTATTAAGTTGATAAATAAAATGTGGAAAATATGTGCAATACAGCACATCAAGGGGTTTCCCAATGTAACAGTTATCTACAACAGGTACAGTATAACACCAAAACAGGAAAATGCTTTTTCTGGTAAATTCAAGCTTCTGATCAACTTTTGTTATTTCTTTCATAAATGTTTCCACAGAATATCCATATTGACATAAAGTCTAAATTGATAAATATCATCTTCTCTTTGCAAAGATATCTTTCAAATGAAATTATAGATGTATATTATTCTTGGTGTTCCCATTTAATTTTCAGTGTGTATAATAAAACAGTCAGAAAAAAATAAAACTGTACACACTTGTATAAAAATAGACATCCATAGGTATCCCTGAAGTAGAAGTCACATGACAATAGGGACTTGCTGTTGTACTTAAAGCCTTGCTGCTTCACTGTGAATAACAGTTCATGACAAATATTTTTAGGCTTAAAATGATAAAATACAAATTTTAAAATGCAAATATTCCTTGTCATCATTAAAGTTTGTCAAACACAAGACCGTGTTTATATTACATTTCCAATCTATATTCCTGTATCTTCTCAAAAGCACCATGTAATCAATATTTGCAAAGATCACAAACTTCTTGTAAAGATGGAGCATTACTTATTAATTAATATTTTCTTTTCTTTGCAAATAATATTCAGTTATGTTATTCTACTACAACATATACTGTGTGGTGCAGTGGTAGTGTTGTTGTCTATCCATTTTGCAGACCTGAATTCTTAGTGTCAGTGGATGGTAACCCTAGACATTTCTTGCACACAGGATAATTTGGAAGCGCAATAAACAGACAGCCACAACTTAAATTAATTCACGAGCCTGTCACCAAATCCCAAATCATCATTATTAATTATTATCACTTCTTCAATTTTCCTTCCAAGAAATTAAAAGTATATATCCTCCAATTAAGAAATGCAGGTTTCTTCTTGGTATAAAATACTGTAGGTTATAGAATATAAAATACAGTAGGTGCAATATAGTAGAATTAAAGAGGGTACAGGTCCATCAACACCTCTTGAACAGGTTACTGCAGTGTGTCTGAAATGAAGTACTATTGTAACTGACATGAAAATTTCTACTTTGTCAAACACCAACACAATTTCTTTCTGATTGACAGCAGGTACTTCTATTCATGAAAACTTATTGAAGATGAACAATGATAAACAGTATAAAAAAAATATGTACATCTGATTATCCTGTACTGGCTCGACACAAATTTCAAGCATATCAACACACTCATTTGCAGTTTTTACAGATATTTGTCACCTTAAAACACACACACACACACACACACACACACACACACACACACACACACACACACACACACACACACACACACACACAAACACACACACACACACAATTGCATGTGTGTGGGAGGGAGGAGGGGGGGGTGCATGTGTGATTATATTTAGTACTTAATTAGCACATGAAAATTAACATAACATGTCCTATGCCTGATATATATCTTTCTAAATTCACATCACCAACGGCTGACAAATGTTCTCACTGCCTCCAAATCATCAAATGTAGACTTCTTTTATCTAAGAATGAAAGCCTTACAAGCACATGTTACATGTATCAGTACTTTGTATTTTGGAGGTATAAAGATGCAACAAGCATTTCATTGAAATTCATTTTCATATCACATAAACACAGACACACTGAAAAGATAAATCAAATTAAAACAAACTACGATTACTTAGCAATGACAATATAAGATCCATTTTTCCTTTGTTCTCCTAAATCACTATCTGTTATCCTAATGCATTTGATTATTTCAATGTTAAAATACACCTGAGCAGCTAAATAGAAGCATCTCTACTTTAAGGCTCTAAAAATGGAAATATTTTCCTAGGCTCTAAATATTCAGCAATTCATAGGCAAAAAGCATTCACACCACAGTTACCATAAATTGCTTAAAAAAATGCAAAAGCTTGTGGAATACATTACCAGCAGCTAAAAACTGACATATCACTTCACTGAACACAATATAGGCAGTGTTACATAATCCTTAGTGAACAAAATACTGTATTGGCAAGCATATTTTTCTATATGCACATTGTACTCCTTCAACAATACCATGGTCGGACAACAATGGATGGCCCTTTTTCCAACATATATTGATCTCTAAAAGGACAATTGTCTACACTGAATTCAATCTAATTAAGGTTTGTCATTTTCTTCATTCATAGTCTTTCTTTGTGTGAGCAGAAGTATAATTATATGTTTATGTCATCTTTATGTTCATATGCATATGCATATACATATATATATATATATATATATATATATATATATATATATATATATATATATATATATATATATATATATAAAAAATTATATATGTGTGTGTGTGTGTGTGTTTCTTTCTGTGTGCATATATATATATATATATATATATATATATATATATATATATATATATATATATATATATAGATAGATAGATAGATAGATAGATAGATAGATAGATATAGATATAGATAGATTGATAGACAGATATATACTTATATATTTATATATTTATATATTTATATATCTAT